GGGGCAGGCGATGGGGGGTGTCTGACCCCTGCTCGCACCCCCTGTCTCCGCCCCTGGTTGTGCCGATGCATCAGGGTTGCTGAACTTATATGTGGGATATGAAGGATAAAGTAATTAACATTTTGGATCAACAATGTGCAAATGATATTGCATCATACATGAAAGAAACATATGATGTATGCGTTGATACAATACACAAAGCATTCTTTGACTGCATTGAAATGTATTTTTGTACATGGAGTTGCTTTTGTGATATTGGAGGGTCAAAGAAATTTTGTGAGACAACTGACATGCCATTGCGAAGTTACATTATGTTATTCATGTATATCATAAAGACTGGTTTATTTGTACTAATCATGTGAGATGCAGGGAAGATATCATTTGTTCCTATCAAGTTTTAGTAGTTGAAACTCGGTGAAGTTTTTCAAACCAGTCAAAACATATTCAACAGTGGTCTTATTTCAAAGCCCTCATCACAAAAAACACGAATATACAAACGAAATATAAATTGGACTTTTGATTCAACATATATAATATAGTCAAATTTACAAGTCAAAATAAAAAACATGCGAGGTGGGGTGTGTGGGCCATGCAGTCTGTGCCAAAAGCTGCATGCATGGAGTAATTAAGCTCTGAACACATTTGCAAGTTTCTGAATCTTTTGACGCAATCCTGCAGCGAAGAACCTACATGCCCCATCTGTGCGTGCTATAAATCCTCTATCCATATATGTGGAGAATTTCTAGGTAATAAATGTAGGCTCAACTCAACCAAAGACAACAACACCATTTTTTAGTGGATATTTTATTTTTATCACATAATTGTAATAATGTTGTCTTTCAGTGAACTTCATTTTTGACGGTACATAACATCTCGATACGACATTCATCTTAATCTTGACTGGGTTTTTCACTGTTAGAAAGTTGGTTCGCATGTTAGTGGAGAAAGAAGTTTATGACAGACAAGGGCCATGTACACATGCCGGACTAATGAATTGATTTTTCAAAGTTAGGTTGTGAATGCAACATGAGAAATGATATTCTACTATTCCGTGCAAGAATCCATCGCCCGCCAACATGAGAAATTTGTGCCATGATTTTTAGCCTATAACAGAAAATGTTTTGTTTCATAGTGTTAAATCATGTTTCATCGGGTCGTTTTTCTAGTTTCTAGCATAAATTTTTGCAATGTACAAGCAACTAAGAGTGCATTTATTTTTAAGTAGATTGTTGATACACAATGAAACATTAAGATACATTTTTTAAAAAACTAGGAAAAAAATGAAATACCATGTAATCTATCTACACTACCTAACAAAGACATAACATTTTCATTTCGCTCAACCTTCGTCCGCCTCCATTCCATGCTTAGCATGCCAAGAAAACCAAAGGAAAATCGACTCGCTATAACTCACACACGGGTCCATCCTTCCCCTCTATTCCCACTATACACTGGATTTTTTTGCGGAAAATAGGGAGATTTCATTACTCAAGGCGGCCTTTCAGCTATACACAAATTTACAATTTTGTCTGTGCCCGTACCAAACCAAATGGCAGTACAGGGTATACTACGCCCATAGGCTGCGAGGCTATGACTAACTTTATTTTGAGTGCGCCTAATATGCGTAATCGAAATCTCCTGTCGGTCCTCTAACATGAGTAACTGGATGTCTCGCACAAATGTCCTGTATCTTGAGCGGTCCCCAGGACTCGCCTTTAACATCGATACTGCCCGAGCATAGTCCAGCTCAATGACAATGGGTAAGACAGTCCAGTGAAGAGCAAGATCAGGCCTTCTATACACTGGATTTATTTATTCAAAATTAATCAAGTGTTTGTTTTTTAGATAGAGATAGAGAGGGAGGTTGGTGGAAGAGGAATTATTTAACGGTAAATCGACTAAAAAATACCGCCTAATGTACATGTACATGGCTGTTAAGTATATGTTAAACATGATTGATGTTGAATCTTATGTATACCCTCGTTGCAACACAGGAAAAATCATCTAATTCATTGAAACACGATAAACTTTGCCAATAATCAAAAAGTATGGCACGAATCTCAGGAATCCAAGGCTTTAAACCCTTGGATCTCAGATCCAACAGCTCGTGGTAGCTCGTATCATGGGAGGACCTAAGCTCCCGTATCACCTGATATTTTCCCTGCAACATATACATGAACTCTTCTCTCTGACACCATTTGGCTCCACAGTTCGTTAACAAACACACTGTGCCAACGTTGATTTATTCCATTCAGGCAGTACATCAACTGTATAGTAATACAAGTATGCTGTATCAGTACGTACTACGTAGACGTAGACCGGATCAGCCCTGGGGCTGGGGGTACTTGGCCTTGTAGTCGTTCCACAGCTGGTCCACGCTCTTCCCCAGTATCTGCACGAAGTAGTCGTCGCTGTAGCCGTCCTTGAGCTTGCCGTTCATCTCCGCCACGAACCCGGCCTTGAGCGAGTCGCAGTAGTCCAGGAACCTGGCCGTCACGTCGTACCCCTGATCCCACCGGTCGCCGCCCCCCTCCTTCACCCAGTTCGCCGCTACGTACCCGGCCTTGAGCCGCACGTAGTCCGCGATACCCTCGAAGATCCCCGAGTGCGCGCCGTACTCCTGCAGCCCCCACTGCCATACGTGCGCCACCTCGTGGTACAGCACCCCGTCCACCTGCTCCTTGAGGTTGTCGCCGGTAATACCGCCAACGGAGCGGGCGCTGAGCTGGATGGTGCTGCCGCTGGTGGAGGCGATGCCGTCCGTGTCGCGGACGGCGAGGGTCACGGTGTCGCCATCGGCGGGCCTGCGGTCGGAGGGGTCCGGCTGGTTGAAGATGCCCCAGGTGAACGAGGAAGCATCGGAGAGCACTTGCTTGGCGTAGGCGGCGCCGTACTCCCGGTCGAATCGCTGACCGCCGGCCGTGCTCGCCGCCTCGTTCGTCACGTCGAACGTGACCGCGCCGGCCGTGGCTGCGAGGGCCAGGAGGAGGGGAGCGGCTGCTGCCATGGAGATCTTCATCTCGTCTGGGTGCCTTGGTGAGTGGTACGTGGGGGGCGGCCCAATTTATAGGCAGAATAGCTAGCTGATGTAGGAGTAGTTGTTTGGAAGCTGTTGCCGGTAATACGTGTTCGGTGAAACGGCATGGCGCTAGTCAAAGCAGCTCGAAATCTGTTTTTTCCAGGGCCAAGTTTTCTTGATTCGGGAAATTTCTAGCGCGTATGACTTCGAGCACCTTCCCACGCGATGTCTATAAATTTTGAGTTGAAATTTTGTGACACATTATATCTGAACTATCTATATCATATTTTTTGAAATGGCATGACGTGCACGATGTAGATTGGTCACGTGTCCGTCACTTCATTAAGTTCTTTTCCTTTTTCCTGATGAAGGAGATTTTTGCATCCCTGCGATGCATACAATTATTTTTATTAATTAGTATTAAAATAGGATAAAGGACAAAGGCAACCCTGATCAAACCATTCAAAATATGAATAAACACATACACCGAAATTACTTAAATTCTTTTGTAGCAACACCTTCAAGAAGTAAGGAACGTACTCACTCACCAGCGCTACATCCGGTGGTAGACGTTCTGGACAAGGATTTTTATCCTAGTTGCCAAGCCTAGCTAATTAAAATCAAGAGGATAAGGTAGTAAGTTCGACACCACATTCAGCAAATTAACGACACAAGTTCATTGTTGTTGAGCCCGACTAATTATGTTAGAAAAGATTTTTTCACTCCGGATATGGAGTGGTATTCCGGTCGGTATCTTGAACATGGACTATTGGATAGCAGCATCTGACAATACTTCACGTTATGCCGAAAAAAGCACTAGCGGATTGATGGGACAACTTCTCACCTTAGACCACCGCTATGGCCCTTAGAGGCTGCCAATGCCTCAGCTCAAAACTCACCATTGTCACTCCACACCGGCGCGAGTCACACTGAAACATCAACCATACTGCTGGAGCCGCTGCCGCCGGCGCCACGAATGCGATTGTGCCTATGATAGTCATTGCCCTCCCACTAGACCAAAATATATTTTCTGCTGCCAACGAGCACCATAGTGTCGTACGCAACAAATGCCATTGTGCCTATAGATGCACTGCCACTCCCCCCTTTATCTCCTTGTATTGGCAATTGAGGGCAGCCGGCTTCGTCAGAATAACGAGTGCAAGTGGCCTCAATTGCCATTTATAGCCCTCACAAAATTTAGCCATCGACACTCGTACCACATCGACGTATGGTGGTCGTCCCCACCGCCAGTGCTGTCGCCGCGTCCCATGGAGGACGCCATCACCCCTATGCCTCTCCGACCGCGGCACGTGTGTGACATCCCGACTTAATACGAATGATAGACTATGCATATCAACAAGGAAACCCTTCTTTTTCGATAGCCAATTTAGAAAGAACCTCAAAGTTAAGCGTGCTTGGCTTGGAGCGATTTGAGGATGGGTGACTGACTGGAAATTTGATCTTGGGTGCAGACGAATGAGGACAAAGTACGTAGTAAAGACTAGTATTGGTCTGTGAGGCTAGGCTAGATCCTTCTAGGCGTAATGGACGAGAATCGGTAGATGTGGTCGGGGCGTTAATGCATGTATGACTCTGTCGATGTGGCTAGCAACGCTTACCGCTGTGTCCACGTCACCGTCATCATGCTGACAACCGTAGGCGCCATCGTCCCCGCCTCCTCCATCGTATCGTTGGGCGCCAGTTTGTTCACGTACATAACTACCGATGCGACTCTCTTGACGGTATGGTCGGCAACACTGACTGTCATAGCGGACACCTCTACGTCGACCACTATAGGAACCACCGGTCCGCCTCCTCCGCATGAGCGGAGAGAATAGGCATCAATGGTGGTAATGTTCTAGCCGTTGAACTCTGCATCGTTAATTGTCTCGATAAAACAAGAACTACACGATGATCGATGTGAAGCAGGTCCCATGCGTCAAGGGATACGACAACATTATGCGTGTTGTGGAAGTCAGAACAGATGCTTCAGAGATCGCATACCTATAGGGTGTTGACTTTGGTCGCTAAGGTCGCAGGGGCATCGACTATGCTGGTGTGTTTCCTTGGGGCTTGTGTGGATGTGGAGCGGTGGCTCCAGAAACCATTGTTGGGTGGTAGAGTGTCGTCTCTTTGCACTTAGGTGTGGGGATGTCATTGGCTCGGTTGGTGCGCAGCCTCGGGTCTAATGTGTACACGTGTAAAACATGTATCAATTTTTGGTCAGGTATCCTTATAAACTAGCCAATTCTGTTCCTCCTAATGAGAAGGCATAGCTCTTGCTTGTTACTCAAAAGAAAACAATATTGGCTCAAAGGCTCTGCATCAAGGAGAGACATTCGGGAAGAGGTAGGCATTGCATCCATGGCGTATTCTCCGGTCCAAAAATTAAGGATCAGGTGGGTTGTTTCTAGGGATGAAAATGAAGTGGAAAGTTTCCGCTTTTCCGGAGGAAAAATGGAAACAGAGAGGAAATATGAAAACGGAAACGGAAATTTGCAAAATGGAAATGGAAGTGGAATTTTTTATGCGGAAACAGAAACAAAAACGGAACGGTGTTTTCCGGTGGAACAGATGCGGAAATAGAACTTTCCGTTTCCGTGAATATGGAATTTCCGTTTCTACTATAGGCCCATGGCTGCTTCGTAGCCCAATTACTAAACAACAGACAATGACACAATGAGCAGACTGGATCATTTGAAGACCAACTTTTACTTCCACACACGTTCTCAACTAGACACAATACGGAATTGTCATGTACTATTACAATACTACCCTATGTTACCAACACAACCATATTATCATGTAGCCATGTTAAAAATTTCTTAAATTTCTTTGTTTTTGTGTGTATTTCTCTATGATTCAAGGGGGTTTTAAGTTCCAGTCAACACACCGTTCTGTTTTCTTGTCCGCTCTGTATTCGCTCCGTGTCTGTTTCCGATAGTATTTGTTTCCGTATTCATTTCCGGGGTTTCCGTATTCATTTGCGCTTCTGCAAAAAATATGAAAACAAATATGGTAGCACCCAGTTCCGTCCGTTTCCGCTCCGTTTTCATCCCTAGTTGTCCCCCCTCTGCATCCATGCAGTGGCACTTAATTAAATGAAGAAACGCAAGCGGATGATTACGGACAAAGTGCATTAGTCATAAAAACTGGCCTTATTTTCTTTTGATTCTATGTTTATCCGATCTTTGCCTAAGAGTTTTTTCATGTCAAGATTAATAGTGGCAAGAGCATCTCTAGTCGAACCCCTAAAAAATTGAGTCCTTCTAAAGCCTCACTCAAACCTTAACTTCTCAACTTTGAGGTGTTAAATAAAAGTTTTTTAGCTGAACTCCAGAGACTTAACTTTCCAATTCTTCTAAGTTTTGGTTTACATACTCCAGTTCAATTACATACTTGCACATATATTAAATCCAAACATATTAATTAAGGTTCAAAGAATTCACAAACATTGCAATTTCAAAATTGACAAATCTATTTATTCAATTCAAACACATGAAAGGGCCCAACGAAGTAATAATCCAAATAAAGAGCACAATATAAGAACATTAATCAAGTGTTCTGGACTTCCCACAAGTGCTCAACAAGATCATCTTGGAGCTAGGTATGAACTTCTTGGTTTTTGATACTTTGATGCACTACGAGGAATCTCCGTATCTTATTCTCATTGTGTTCCGGCTTGACAAGACCTCCATTGGAGGTGTAATGAAAGTTCTCTGTCATGTCTGTCTCATCCTCAATGATTATGTTGTGTAAGGTGATGCAACATGTCATTATTTGCCATAGGATATGTGGTTTACAACACTCGACATGACCATGAATAGTGGATAGACGCTTTTGAAGCACACTAAAAGCTCTCTCGTCATCATTTCTTGTCGCCTCTTGACGCATTGCAAAGTGGGGTCTCTTGTTGCCTTTAGGATGTTGGATTCTCTTCCCACATGTGGCCCATGGGGAAGAGACACAATCTACAAGTACGCGATCATGTGCTGACACCCATTGACAACATAGTTGCAAGGAGGAACATATCTGGCAACAAGCCTTCCGGACAGTGGTAATCCCAAAAGCATATTCAGGTCATTATGAGAGCCAAGCAATCCAATAAATGAATGTCAAATCAATAGATCATTTTATGCAAGTGTCTCAAGAATGATGGTTGGATCTTTGAAATGGACTTTATACCGATCTATTCACCCCACAAGACAATTCTTCCATGTTCAGTGCATGCAATAAATTAATACAAGCACCTTGACCATCCTCGTTCTTCACTCAAACCAAAGAGTCTCTCGGTGTCTTCATCATTAGTTGCCCTCAAGTACTCCAGTCCACAAATCTCAATCATGGCTTGTGTATATCTTTGAATGACCTCTATGATTGTATCTTCTAAAATACGGAAATAATCATCAATGGCAACGGCCGAACACTCATAGGGAAGCACTCAAACAATCGAGACACAGTCCCTCCGTCCTTGAAAGAGTGTACTTCTAACTTTGTTGGAGGGTCAAACTATCTTAAAGTGTGCCTGAGCTTGTGCGAAAGTATGTCAATGCTTGTGAAACCAAATAGGTGTATGATGAAAATATATTTTATCATGAATCTAACGCTACTAATTTGATGACATAAATTTAATCTATTATTGTATAAATACGGTCAAACATAAAAATGTTTGACTTTCTAACAAATTTGGAAGGTCACTCTTTCAAGAAAGGAAGGAGTACTAGTCAATGGGCACATACTTATTTCTCCCGATGGAATCCTCCCTAGTTTAAATGGATCATGCCGGTGTGCAGGGCGTCAAGCGATATGAAAGTGGCACCCAAGAGAATCTTTTGCTAAGAACTTCTTTCGGACGCTCAAATTTGAGAGCCGACGGACAATTCTTCTTAATATTTTTTTTGAAGTGGCCAGCGTAGCTGGTTTTCATTTCATTAGCAGGGAGAAGTTACAGAAATTGATCATGGAATGGAGAGGCAATACATCTTACTTCGGGCCCGAAA